CCCTTGACCACGTGACTTACCTATTTGCATTCGTTGACCCAAAGTAACCGAAAGCCTTAACCGCCCACAAGCCAAATCTAACACCCTCTTTCGAAAAAGGTTACTTGTCGTACGTTACGCGAGGTTTAGAATTTTGGAGCGACCGAGTCGCAATCTTCCGAACCCAACAATATAACGAAGATAGACGATATCTCAAAGCTAGAAATGGCTTTTACAATGTTTTATTATTATTATTATTAAAGCGTTATATTCCCAAAAGAAACCAAAAAATTATAGTATATAAATAAGTTACCCAATTAATTGATTTAGTTTTTCAAACTGTAAGAAAGAATTTTGCAAACTCTAAAAAATTGAAATAATAGTTTGTCAATAAAAATTAATAGTTCGTTAATAAAAATTTAATTTTAAAATAAACATGCTTGAATTACTTAACTTTGACGCATAAAAATAATGCTAATGTTAAAAGAGTATAATAAAATATTCCTACGTGTAATTTCGGTACCAGAGCCTAGGATGTGTACCGATATTACATCATATTCATACCCAACCAATCTCTCTTGCATCTCTCTTACAAGAGTAGGTTGTTCTTCTACGTAGAAATAGAAATCAGTTTTCAAAATTTCTAAAAGTTATTAAAAATTGATTCACTGGAATCGATCTTTTATAAACTTTTTAAAATTTTAAAAGTTGATTTTATCTTTGTTTCTATGTAAAAAGCTTTTCTTAATTTGCTAACAAATTCCTCTATCCCCAAAATTTTTCGACTGCTTTATTTAAGGAAGAAACTTAACTGGCTCTTTCTCGAGAACCAGTAGACCTTAAGCAGGAGAGATGAAAAATATTGGATGTCAAAGGAAAAGAAGCAAACTAAGTGAGAAAAAAACAATACGTTAGTATATCAAATTTATATTGTTTTGATTATCACTAAAAATTATGTAATGTTGATCATTATTCAACATTTACGTACGTCATTTTGTGTGTTTTTCAAGTGGCTAATTTCCTTTTTGGGCACAAAAATAAGTACACATACTGTACCTACGTACAGTCAGGGATTTTTACCCGATATTGAAAATAATTTTTATTGTTACTGTATTATCTAAAAAAAACAACCAATTTTAAAAATCTGACGTATTATCAGTTATTAGCTTTATATGTATTTTATAGTGTACCAAAAATCCTGATCCAACAGATTGAGATTATCATCTGATCTGAACCGTGGGATGAGATTGGGCTTAATAAAAATGGATTGAATTATAAATACATTCTAATACGCAAACACTCTTTTAAATTACATATCGATATTAGTTCAGTCAATGGGCTTAGGAAAATATGGTAAATTTATTTCCTTCCAGATCGTCATCTTAATGATAAGTAATAATAAGTATTGACAAATCGCCTATCTCTAGAAATAAGCAACCAGACATTTTTAAGTTTTAAAGTCTGATAATTCTTGTATGAGTAAACATTTTGTTATGCCCGATTCACACAGACAAGCATTTATATTCGAACTCAAAAGTCATAATGAAACGTATTTTATCAGCATTCAAAATATGTATTTTGAATTATACTACACTTCGATAAAAAAAATTTATTTATATATTATATAACGCAAACTGACGATTAATTTTTCTGTACAATAACATCTTAAAATTATGGTCGATGAATTTAGTTCTAAGAGGTATGAAGGTTATGGAAATGTGCAAAATGCAAGCGATATAACACATCTCATGGTTGGTGTCAAACATGCGGTCCTCAGAAGATAGTACAAGGATGGATGATTATATTAAGGAAAGCCAACTTAAAGCTACGTCTTATGAAGATGTGATTGAGTGAGTTTCGTTTTATAGATTAATTAATATTTAAAAGAATGGTGATGGATTTTTAGCAACGTGATTAGATGGAATACGATATCAAAATTCTAAATATTATTATAATAAACGTATAAATTAATATACACAGTCATGCACACCGGCAAGCATAATTACACTTAAATATTGACAGGAACAGCAGATATTCAAAATATTTTAAAAGAAGTGAGTTCATATCATTTTATTATTGTTGTGTGTAGTTTATTTAATTAATATACTTAATTTATACTTATAATGTTTATATACGTATTTTATAAGTTTGAATATCATGTGCAATTAGATAGTCGGTTAGAGCATAAACCGCGTATACATGTTTATGGATTAACTCAAATACAATCACAAATGAATATATGCTAGTGTTACGGTGTAAAAGTGACATTTCAGAAATCGGTGTATAAATCATCAAACCGGGATGACGAGTGTGATGACGAGCGTGATGTTAATTACGTGTAAGATCTACAAGGGAATGTTCTATTAATATATAAGGTGAGTTATGTCCAAGCCTCAGTAGTCCTTGAACGTTATATAAAGGACGTAACTTGGTGAAGGTTGGTTACGATACTTATGTGCGAGGAAGGGGCACATGAGATCACTAACGATAATAATTCCTCTTATCATATTTTACCCAAATCATCAACGTCACGCTTCTGGCGAATGGCCTTATAACCACATAAAGTCTATATTTTTAAGTATAGATTACGACCCAAACGAATCTCCCCGTAGCATTTGGTGGTGACTGACAATTCCGCCCGTAACACTTGTATCTGATGAATTTATTTATAAGAGATATAATTGGAATGGAAAATGCGCAAATTGCAAGCAATATAATGCATCACCAGCCTGGTGCCAAATATGCGATCATCAGAAGACAACACAAGGATGACAAGTAGGAATAAAGATATTGATGATTGCATTAAAGAATTTCAACTTAAAGATACTTCTTATGAAGATGTAATCGAATGGATTCCTTTTAGTAGATTAGTTTATATTCAAAATATTAGCGATAAAATTTAGCGATATGATTAGATGGAATACGATCTATAAAATATGACGATAAAGCTGAATATGAATATTAGGGTAGCTGCACAGAGTGTGACGCGGCGCAGGACCAGTACGATCATGTATGCCGTTGTGAAAAGCTCAAGAAAATCAATTTACCTATTCTCTTTTTTTTTTTTTGCTTTCTTCTATTATTAGTTTATAGTTTTTATTTTGCTTTAGTAGAATTAGACTCCATAACTTCTCCAACACAACCTATACTTTCTCAATAATTTTTACCAAGTAAATTAAATCAGATAATTACTATATTACCGATTTTCCGTAACTATAATTATGAAGATAATGAAAATAATAAGTGATGAAAAATGAAACTCAAGCTCAAAAAAGAAACAAAAGATAAAATTTCACAAGTTTTTTAAAACTTGCACTAACCTTTATTTTATCTAACCCAAATGATTATAAAATCCACTTCATTTTACTGACACTCATTTCGTAGACACAATACTCCACTAACAATCAATTTACCAACATGTTCATTTTACCAACAAGCTTAATTCACTGACATTGAATTTACTGACAAGTTAAATTCACTAACCTTAATCATAATTCTGGTATAATTACTTTGTTGTTGAATTGAATGTCAGTGAATGAACTTGTCAGTAAATTATGGCTGTTTTCATAAATTTTGGGACACCTAAAAATTTTTTTGTTTATCGAAACCTTTTCGATCCTGTTTTAAGAATCACTTAACTTTTTGAAAACTGCTTTGCTGATCTTGAGATTTCACTATGAAGACAGTGAAGTGATTTTCAAAAAGTTAGATGATTCTTAGAATAGAATCGAAAAGGTTTCAGGAAACACGAAAATTTTAGGTGTCCTAAAATTTATGAAAACAGTTGTAAGTGTCAGGTAATAGACATGTCAATGAATTGATTTTTGATAAATGTTGTGTTTAAAATGAGTATTAGTGAAATGAGCAGAACCATAATGACTGGAATCAATTTATGAAATAATCGATGGTAAATTAAATTTTGTCAATAGTGTAAAAATTTGTTGCATCATAATGAGGTAAAAATCTTAACTTCTTCTGAAAATGGATAAATGAAAATCATTACTCCTTCTAAAATAGGATTTTTTCAAAATTGTTGAATGGAACCATCCCCCTCATATTTTATATGATCGTACTGGTATAGATATACACAATCATGTTGTGGGACCCAAATGGACCCTGGCTGTTCAGGGTAGGATATTACTTAATTAGAGAAGGAGTTGGTCGCATCTGTCGCATGTGACTGTTCATTCACATGTGATGCATACATCGAATGTGGCGGATAGCAGTGATCGAGTGGAAGAGAAATATCAGTAGGATACGACTAATTAATAGTATTAGTGACATCAGTCATATCTATCACATAATATACATAGAAGATTTTAATTATAAATAAAGGCCAAACAGGCCCTTTGGGAAGAACAACTTCCTCTTAACAACAAATATATAACACATATAATCCATGATTACCCATAATAAAACTACTGTAAAATACTACTATACAAATAACTTTATTAAATACAAATGTTGTTACATAAACCATCCCTAATTTGAGACTCTGTAAAAAGTACACCAGTGCATTTAACTAACTCTAACCCAACACATCTTGCACCAGTAGACCTGACCATTTTTCGACAAACCACTCAACAAATCTAACATGCCTCTTTCAACCCAATTTATCGACTATAAAGGTTATACGAGAGATCTGACTGACTCGCCATTTTATGATTACAATGTATACCATCATATAAAGTAGAGCTTAAAATATTGGCATGAACACAAAGTTTATTAGATAAGTTAAAAGAAGTAAGTTAATATGCTTATTAATTATTTGATGCAATTTATATACATTATTTTAATATACTATATATTTACATACTATGCTTAATAAGTTTATAGATTATGTACAGTTAAAGAATAATCATCTTAAAGTACTGTATATGGACTGATTTCTAACACGATTACATCGTGCAGTTACCTTATTCTAATTAATATTTATTATGTTTAAATCAATATTGACATAGAGGAAATCCAGCAATTGCAATTTATAGAATAACTAAAACCCAAAAGATAGTAATTATGTGATGGTTTTGGAGTATGCAAGCAAGAAAGCTTTTGTATATGTTGAGTTAGGTTCAACTTCTTATTCTAGCAGGTTATTTGGTATGTTGAATTTAATTATAAGTTTTTTTTTTAATCAATATTAATTTTTTTTAATATTAATTTTATTTTAATGTCTTTTCAACAAAACTTTATCTCAATCAAATTTGTATATTTTGATCCATCATTGATATCTAATTATCTAGTAATCAGATCTTGATAATTTTGGTATCATTTAATCCTATTGTCGAAACGATTAGAGAAATATCAAAATCATCAAGATTTGATTACTAGATCATGAGATATCAATGATGGATCAAAATATATGAATTAGTCATTTTTCGATCAAATTCATATCTTAATCTATCAGTCTTAGATTTTTTTATAATAATTAATTTTAATTTTTTCTAATAATCAATTTTAAATTTTTTTTTAATAACCATTTTAATTAGATTCAACTCGATTATTTCCACTTTTTGGCATATTTCATTAGATATAAATTTATTATAACGATGTATCATAACTTGGGAAACATTGACTATCAGCCAAAATCACTATTTATATATTAACAGTCAAAATTTTTAAATTTTGGGGAATGTACATAATCAATGAACATATAAATAATTTCGAATATTGTAAATTTACAGACCTTACAGAGATAATAGATGAGAAAAGTAATTTTGTAAGTAATAATAGCCTATGACTTATTCTTTTAATTAATATTAAATAATATTAAATATTTATTACATTTTATTACTTATTATGTATACATATAAAACACATGATAACAGTTAGAGATGAGTAAGTTTGAACGAAAAATTGCTGTTAATTATTATAAAATTACTTATTATTACCTATTTTACAGTAATATGTAATTGACTTTGCCCATCTTGAACAAAGATTGACTCTGGAAAATTTAAAAAGGTTTTAAGCTTGAGTATATGTAGTTATTGTGGAATTAATTTGGTAATTTGCTGTAATCTTTTTAAGCATAATGCCATACTGCCATAATACATTACAGCATTATGGCAATTAGATACATACTATGCTGTAATTAATTCTACTACATGGTAAAATGTTGTAATTCCATAATTTTACTATCAACAATAAGTGTAAGTATAAAGATAGTGCATTAACAGTTGATTTTAAATTCTTAAATATGCACTAGTATTAAGGTAAATGACAAATAAATATTTATTATGCTTAAGCTAAAAATAAACACATGATTGGTTCATCATTAAGCTTGCATTAAACTACAAAATATAAAAAAAATAAAATAATATTCAATAATATTTAAAACATGAAATAACCCTACAAAAAATTTCTTATAAAAATTACATATACAAAATCTTTTTTTAAAAAACTAGGTGCTTGAGTTGTTTAAAAGAAGTTGGAAATAATTGTAATATATCAATTGCACTAGTGCATTAAGTATTAAATTTAATTTAGTTTGATGCAGTTTTTTTTTTATACTTCCAAAAAACATTTATGCATTTATATTTATATTAATGAGTCTTGAAAAAGTACAATTGTATACTAAATTAAAGCCTATTAATTATTATCATTGTAACTATAATATACAAATTAATAGATATATCACTAAATATAATTAACATTGTTTTGACATTATTGTTATAAATCTTTGTAATTATTGATTAAAGTAAATTCATTCACTTCAGTAATTTATGATTTATTATTACTATAGTTTTCAATTATCTTTACTTAGATATATTTAGCCAGTGAATTTAAGATTATTTATTACATTATAAATAATTTATTGGTTAAAATTTAGTTAATTAGAGAATTGATTCAGGTTCATTTTTTTACATTAAAGATAGTTTAATGCAATAAAACTGGGTTGAAATATTATGAAATTAATAAATATTATTAAGCTTAATAGTTATTATTAGGTACAAATAACTGTGATTCTGTCAGTTTACAATTCAAAATGGCATGTAATGTATGATAAGTAACCTTTTCAAAAGAGGGTGTTAGATTTGGCTAGTGGGTAATTAGGGCTTTTGGTTACTTTGGGTTAACAAATATAAGTAGAGTAAGTTACATAAACAAGAACTCAAATGAATAATAAAGTTTATAGATTTTACAAAGTTTGTACTAAGTATAGTGTTAGTATTTTATTATAAATATTATAATATATTTAGACTTGTATTTAATAAAGTAAACAAAGCATACTGCTTTTAAAAACCATTTTAGTCTTTATTTATAATATAAAATTCATCACTTATAAATGTAACTTATCTATTAAAACTAATTAAACTATTTATATGTATTTATTTAATATCTGTTATTTTCTTTCTTTATTTCTTCAAATCTGAAATACTGTTTCTGATCTTAAATGTAACTTATTATACTTATTATATTTATTACATTTATTGTACTTATTGCACTTATTGCACTTATTGTATTTATTGCATTTTATACATTTTTTATATGATTAGTCATGATATTTGGTATCACAATTTTTAGTATCACATTATTTAAATACTTTAATTAATACATTCTTTATATTATAGACTAAATAAAGCAAAATTAAGTAGCATATATTCATGAAATTTAATAGTTTATTTTTATACTTAGACTAATAAATATTTTTTATAGTCAGACATTAAATTAATGAAAATAAAAATGAAATTAGATAATTTAAATATGAAATCAGTTTATTTTAGATGATTGAATAAATAAATGTTTTTTTATTATACTAAATTAAATATATATATTTAGATTAACAAAAGTTTAAAATGCATTAAATTAACATAATAAGCTTAAATAAACAGTAGCAATTATTAAATTTAATAATTTGTTTTAATATTAAGTGCAATAAATGCATTTAATATCTGAAAAATAAATAAAAATTATTTCTATTAAAGTAGCAAAATACTATTTAAAAAAGTAATTTACTGGTTAAAATAAAGCATATCAGATATAATATCAATTTTTTAATCCTAATATGATATTGATTAATAGCTTAAATTGTATCATTTCTAATTTATATCAGAACTAATAAAACTATTAAAAAATTATAAAAGCTATTAGGTTTCTGATATTTATCAATAATTTTTAGTTCTGATATAAACTTGAAAATAATATAGTTCAAATCATCAATTAGTACTAGGTTAAATTATATTAATTTGCTCAATATGCTATATATTTTTTGTGTTACTTAAAGAGATAAGTCTATTTTTACTACTATAATTGTAGAATCTATAGATAAATATTAATATATTAGTTATTTAATAAGGTAGCTATGTGATCTAGTTGGAATAGAAACTAGAAATAAAAACAAATATAGTAGTTAGCAAATAGCTTAAATAATATACAAATAAGAATTAATCTAGAGAATAGTAATCCTAGTGTAGTGGTTAAGTTATCATTCTCCAAGTGGCAGATCTAAGGTTCAAATCTTATCTATGATAAAATTTGGAAATTAACCTGTGTTATAACAAACTGTCTCTTAACGATTAGTTGGATTTGTGTACTATAACTTTAAATTACACTATTTTGAATAGGAGCTTAGGGCATCTATGCCGAGTGCAATGTTATATGTACATAGAGAAATGTTAATAACCAGTGTCATATAAGACTTTAGTGCAAACCCATGATAAGACCACTGTGTGCAGTAAACTAAGAAACTGAAAAGTCAGAATCCAACTTGGAAATTTCCAAGTAAAGAGATAGCATAAACTTTTGACAGTACGATCAGATTGATGGAAGCCCATAAAACACCCCCAAAGGGATAGACAGATAAACCAGATATCAAAATGTGTAGAGGAGCATATGACCAACCAGGCCACTGGAATCGCCAGAGAAAAAGGATATATAAGTATACTATACCAGTCTATTTAGATTAGAAGTCAGAGAAGTTCTGTTAATTCTGAGTAGCAGTTAGTAAGAGATAATGAAGAAGACATCATAATAATAAGTACTGAAGTTCTAGTAAACTTTACAAGGATAGAAATAGTGTAATGTAGTGGTTAAACAGGTAACTCCTGTGACTGCAAGTGTTAGATAACTATAGCATGTTGCATAAAACTAGATTAGCTGTATGTGGGACATGGAAGGTTCTAGTAAGTTTCCTGTCAAGGATAAACTAGTTCTAAGAGTACTTGAAGGCTTTGGGTACTTTGGATAGGTGTAGCCTTGAAGATGTCTTCATAAGACATGGTGAACTACATATGCAGAGAGTTTAAATAGGCAAGATCTATAGTTGGCTTGCAGGTATGGCACCTAGTATAGAATCTGTATAGTAATATATTAGCAGACTACTTAAATTAGGCACCAAAAATGCACATGTAACTAGTTGTAACCTCTAATGTAAGGGAGCTTTTGAAGGCACTTGTGTCCAAATACATGAATAAAAACATCAACTCTTATAGACAGAGACTTTAACTAAAAAAAAAAAAAGAATTAATCTAGTATTTTATTAATATATTATAAAACATTTAATATATAGTATAGGTAATTGATTTGCATTGACTAATTAAACAAAAAAGTTTATAATACATTATATAATAAATTATTAGGTTATTAGATTATTCAAAAAATTGATACATTTATTAAATTTATTTTTAATATAATTAATTAAAGAATAAAAGTATTTATAGTTTAACTTAAAACATTATAACAAAATAAATATATATTAATATTTGACAAATTTGGTTTTAAAATAAAAATAATAGAATATGTGCAAATTTTAAGTAATAGAAAACATTTTATATTTGGTATTAAAATATTATTTTCAGAAGATAATACAAGGATGGACAAACTGAAATAAGAATATTGACAAGTGTATTAAAGAAATTTTATAATGTAATTAAATAAATTCTTTTTAATAAATTAGATAATATTCAAAATATTAGAGATAAAATTTTAGTAACTAGGTTAGATAAAATTCAAAAATTATAAATATAATATTAAAAATAGTAAATATAAATATATACAATTACATATATTATCATGTAAAGTAGATTTTAAAATATTAAATAGAATACAAAATTTATTAAATATACTAAAAAAAATAAACTAAAATATTAATATTTATTATTGTGACACTATATATATAACTTTAACATATATTTGAATATTAATAAGTTTATAGATTATATACAGTTAAAAAATAGTAATCTCAAACTATATAAACTAACTCAAAACAATGCAAACAATAAATATATGATAATATATTTAATAAAATTTTATAATAAAAAAGATATAAATAATGAGACAGTGCAAATTACAAATAATATAGTACATATTACATTTGATGCCAAATATGTAATTCTCAAAAATCAATACAAGAATAAGCAAATGAAAAAAAATATCAACAAGTACATTAAAGAATTTAACTTAAAGTTACAAAAAACATGTAGATGTAATCAAATAAATTCCTTTTAATAGTTAATTAATATTTAAATAATTAGTAAAGAAGGATTTAGTATTGTATTTTCTGCAATATAGTTATTTAGTAAAAGAATTGTTTTATATACTTCTAATAAGTTTATATAATCATATATAACATCATATGTAATAATACTTAAAACTTTACTTAGTTTACAAATAAACTTTCTAAAAAAAGTATATTAAAATAATTTATTTATAATCTAATTCTAAAATAATCATAACAATAACAATACTATTAATATTGACAATCAAATTAGTAAATAAAGAATACCAAAATAAAAGTCACATAAAATTCACAACATAATGTATACCATTCTACTAAAAATAAATAATGCATATGATAAAACTTAACACAATACAATAAAGTTAATATTCAATTTAGAAAAAATAAAAAAACAAATACTATAAAAATAAATTATTAATAATAAGTAACTACACAACATTGTTGTATGAAACCAGGAACAAAAAAAATCTACACAAACATTATTTTAATCATGAAAAACCATATTCTTTATTGCAATCCATTTCTGATATAAGAAAATAACTCTTTATAAAATGATTAATAGTACTTGCAATCTGAATATTGGTTTGAATTTCAGTAACTGAACCTAGAAACCTATTAATGAAGTCAATGTCTGATTGCTATATAATTGGTTAACTAGCATCACTCAGTTCTAATGAATTTGACCCAAAATTCTTAGACCTTGCAAAAAAACATTAAAAATCTATAAAACATATCTGTATTTAGAAATGATCAACAAATTCTTTCAATTAAGTCCTTGATGATTAGTGATTATCATTTTATCTGCCTGATAAAAAATTTGATGAAAAAAAATGAAAATTACCAAATATTTAGCATTGAGGCCTTTACTATCGTTTGTTATAGCATCTTCGATTTTACAGATGTATATACTCATTTATATTTTTTAAAAAATATTGAATGATGAATAAGTCACGCAGTCAATCAATTTCAAGATTCTGCATACAGAAGCATTTGTTTTTGGTACCTACTAGTGATGCTGTAGAATCATCTCAATGAATTTTCTAAGTTACAATCAGTCATGGCTGTGGTTATAGCAAAAACTATATGGGTCCCATTATGTGCATTAATAATATGTTATGTAACTTTAGTCAGTGATGTAATATTAGCTGGTATCGTAACTTCAGCTAATATCGCAACTTCAATTAAAGAGCAAAACTTTAATATAATATAACTTTTAATAAAACCCCACTAAATTAATTGATCTATAAATTATATATCAATATTTGCATATTGTAATAACTACATTATAAAAATATTATAAATACAAATTTGTTCATTATTTTTTTTTTTACCAAAATCTTTTAATAATGAATGCACTTAAAGATATTACAAATAAAAATAAAGTTACTTGTACAAATGATATTAGTCAAGAGGCACATTCTTCATTATCTGAATCTAATAGTAACACTAAACAATTCTTTGCGTATCAAGCCTCTGGTTCTTAACAGACATCAGATGATGTATTGGTTCAAAGTACTAATGAAATTATTGATTAACATGCTTCAAATTTTTTTAAAAAAAAACATCGTGGTGGGCCTAAGCTGGACCTAATGTAGGATTATGTCGAAGTTGTAGATGATTTGAGTGATGGACATTATGAAGCTAGATGTAAACATTGTTTACATAATTGGATATGTGGAAAACCACAATTACTTAAACATCATCTAGCCTGAGAATGTTCAAAAGTTCATAAGAAATTAAGGAGATTTGGCAAAGTAAGTTAGCAGATGAAGAAAAATCTGTTAAACAACAACAAAAGATGATAAATCAAATAAAATCACTTTCAGAAATGGTTTCAGAAGATAGGCAATGACAAATAGATAAATCAGTCCTAAAGGCTTGAGTGTGTACTGGAATTCCTTTTGAAACAATTGATAATCTATTTGTAATAAATATGTTTAAAACATTAAATAATAATTATAATCCTCTTTCCTATAAAACACTTTCTAAACATATTCTTGATGAAGAGGTTGCTAAAGTTGAAAAGACTATCAATAGTGAATTAGAATCAAAATCAAATTTAATATTAAATAAGTAAATTTATATAATATTAAATTTTAAAAATATTAAATTATCTTATATATATTTTATATTTTATACATAGCACTTGATGGGTGGACAGCACCAATAGGATCATTATTTTATAATTATATCATTACTACACCTAGCCGTAAAAAACATCTATTCCAAATCAAGGATTATTCAATTGTTTTACAAACTGGTAATTTCTTGCTGAGGAAATTAATAATGTTCTAAATGAAATTGAAGTTGAAAAATTTGCTGCCATCATCACAGATCATGGCTCAAATATAAGACATACAAGAAGATTAGTAAATAAAAATTTAATTTTATTCTTAATTTACATTGTGGGGTTCATGCAATCAATTTGATTGCATCCGATTTATCTGAAGTTGAAGAAATTAAAGAATTAATTAAGAAATATGGATCTATTATAAATTTTTTTTATCAGTTATTATTGGCTAATAAATTATTAAAAAAAAGCTTAATAGTCATGAATATTAATGGTGGCGAACTTAAAACTTATTGTAAAACAAGATGGGGTTCCTTGTATACAACAGTTGATTCTTTAATTCGTGCATAGCTGGTCTTTGATTAGGTAAGTTAATTATAGTAACATTGTTTTAATATGTATAATTAAGTTTTTAATACGTATTTATTGTTATCATTATTAGCTTATTAATAATCATGCAATGGCAATTTCTAATAAAACCATATTTGAGTTAATACAAAATTTGAATTTTTTTAATAATTGTCATTATATATCAACAATTATAAAACCTGTTATTGACTAGTTAGAAAGCCAGCATGCAATGATTGCAGATTGTTATGTTGTATTGATTAAAATTACCACAGTCATTAATTATCTTTCAAGTTTTAATTTATTTAAACCAAAAGCTATACAAATATATAATTTACGGTTTAAAGAATTTGCAATTCCATTATATCAACTTGCATATTTTTTGCATCTGTTATACTGAGATAATAATCCTTGATATTATTTATATTATATGTATTAAAATACACAGTATATATATTAATTCAAATTTTTTTTTATTTAGGTATTGGGTTAAAACAAGATCAATTCTATGAGATTTGTGAAACTGCAACAAGTATGTGACAAGATTTAGGTTATAATAAGGCATCATGTGAGGATCTACTGACTGAACTTTATGCTTACAAATGCAAAGAAAAACCATATGCTCAACCATTCAAAAAAGAAAAAGAATCTCTATTAAAATGGTGGTTTAGCATCGATGCTCAGAAAGAGCCATTATCTGAACTTGCAATTAAAATATTTTCTATTCCACCATCACAAGCGATATGCAAAAGAAATTTTTTCACTCTTAAATGACTACTTGAAGATCAAAGAATAAGGCTTAACATATTTCAGTTAGAAGTGATAGCTAAAATTAAAGCCTTTTATTATACCAATATTAAAGAGGAATTATCATTTTATGGTAAAAAATTGTCTGAATTTGATTTGAGAGATAGTGTAAATGGTTCAACCATTAATGCAAGCCAATTAGAATTTACCAAACAGCAATTTGATAATGAATTATCTGATTCGTTCAATCCTATTACCAAATCCAACCATATACAACTAGATGAAATAAATGATGATGATTTGTTAATTGAAGAAATTATCGATCTTTCAAACCTGACTTTTATCGGTAATAATGATTCATTTATTGAAGAACAAAGCAAGGTCTCAAATAATATGGCTCGATGATCAGCTTCAGGAAACCATGATTATAATCCAGCAAGATTAGTAGCACAAATATTTAATGAGAAAGAATAATTCTTTAATAGACTTTGCGTATGTTTTTATTGTATGTACTGTACGATGCAAATAAAAATGTAATATGTACGTATAAATTATACATAGCATATCACAAATATAGCATATTATGAGTTACGCATATAAAATCGTGTTGCGCTGCATAAAATAGTTACGGTATGATCATAATAATACGGTACATACAAATCTTGCGACATGCCGTGACTTAAAACAAAATGCCACAGCAAGTTATAACTTAGTTACGATGCAGCTTATCCCAATGCTCTGAGATTCTGCGGCATCCCTAATCCTAATCTCCAAAAGTGAAAACTGACAATAAAAAAAATTTATATATGAGTGATACACAGAAAACCAGTAAGTAAAATTTTATTCGTGCCGGTCTTAACGACTTGGCACTGGGACGTGACCAATCATAGGATATGACAAATAATAATTTATTATAAAGGTTATGTACCTTCAATTTTACTTAACGTTGAAGGTTTTCCTAGAGTTTGGAACCGGTTTTGTTTTTCATATGGTAAACCCGATTAAAACCGGTTAATACATGAAAAATAAACCCGGCTCCAAACTCTAGGTTTTCCCTATGCATCACTTATACGTATATAATATCTGATTTTGGTTATGTATTTAGCACCTTAAAATAAATTATATACATAATTTTTAATTATCTTCTAGACAGATTCGTCAAGAATACAAATTGAATTTTTAATATGCGCGATCGGCTAATTAGCAAGTATATTATTAGAACACGGTATGTTATTGTAACTTAAGAAGTGACTTGAATTGCTTGGTAATTGATGGCTTTTGGAGAAATTCCTGCGGGGATAGAAATATATTAGAATAGAAAATCGACAGCTACGTTTTTTTTTATCAATAAATAACGATTACGAACTTTCGCTGCACTTTCTATGGTCTTATGGAAATACGATGTAGTTTTTTCAATTTCTTCATGTAATCTGGTTATATCAGATTGATGTATTGTTTCTAAAGGAAAAATAATTAATATTTAATATGTCGGATACAGATTCAGGAATGATAAGTCTAACATACGGATGTGCGTAATATCTTTTTCAAAGTCCCTTCGTGCACGCATGCTCTGGGAATGGTTCTTATCAAGCGCTTCGAACAAATCGGACATTATTAGCTAATACAAAAATGAAAGAATTAATATTCGAGACTTTAAATGTAATGTAAAGCTGTGAATATAAAGCAGACAAACTTGATATTTTTCAAAACCCAATCGGAGTTTCCTTAAACAATTTCGTTTTTCTTCGGCATATTCATCCATCCTGTGCTTATATTCTGACGCGACTTTTGTTCTTTTTTCCCAAGCGCAAGAAATTATTAAAATTGTGATATCACATGGTGTAATGGGCTAAAACTTTGCTCACGTGATATTATCTTCTTTCTCAATATAACTTCCAAGGGCATTAGTTATAGTAATCCTGCTTAATTCGAATCGCTTGTCCATCAATTTGGAAATTTGATTTTCTCGTTTTTTAAGGGATGCTATAAATTTGATTATTTTAAATCAGATAAAGTGACATAAAGTAATGCTATAATAGATACCTGCAAGAGCCACCATAATTTCTTTATGGTCCAAATCACTAAAATCAATAAAATTAAATATAAACTTAAGAATTATAAATCCACATTTTATAAGATTAAATTAAAAACATATTACTTGTCATGTAAATCCAGAGATGGTTCTTGATCATCATTTGACATATTATAATCTTGTTCTCGAGGGTAAATAGTAGCTTTCAACCTGGACCCTTTGGGTTGGTGAATTTCGGCCTGGTCAGGGTTAGTGGTCCGTCTGTCAGCATGCTTCGTAGGACTATTTAACCTAATACGCGATACTAAATAAATTATACGGCTTAAATATCCGTTGTTTTTATTTTTATGCGAAGTTGTCCATTAAAGTACGAAACCACAGTAGATAGACCTTTTGAACTGCCAGAAATTACACGTGGCGTGGTTTTGCCAACTCTCATTTTACCATTTGTCCTTGAGACAACGTCAACGTTTGGTTTTTGTTTTACTATAGAAGATTTTGCCCAACGCGTTGTCATTTTCATTTTGTTCTTTATTAAGATTCACAATATATAATTTATGTTAAATATTTATGTGAAATATTTAAGTTAAAGATTCATGTTAAAGTAAAACTTTTATATTTGTTTATAGTCTTTTATAAATCACTGCGGGATCAATAGAAAAAGAAAATCCGATTATGCAAACTTTATAGTTAACTATTAATTTTTATAATATTTAATTCTGAATACATATTCAAATTTATTCGTGATGACATTGATCTTTGATATTACTTTGTACAGTTTAAAGTTTTAATAAATATCAACAACTTATATGTCGTCCTGCATCATATTTCCCGCTAACACAACCTTTTCCCCAGGTGCAAATGCTGGCATGCCAAGATATGGGCAAGTCGCACAACGGAAGGCATCACCAAGATAGCACTAAATCACAAAAACAATTGGGTCTTAGATAATTATATGGACGAGATCCAAAAAGTATATAAGAGAATTATTACATACACTTCCACAAGATGACTTGAATTGTTGAGATTGTTGTGCGGCAAGCTGTTTTTCTTTTTCCAACTCTTCCGCAAGACCACATGAACAACTTTTGCAAGCCTTTCGTTTGCCATCAGTTTCACAATCGGGACCTATTCAGGAATGAATATTAGTCATTAATCATTATAGTAAAAGAATTTAGTGTACCGAATGATATTAAATACTTACGGATTAATGTACTTTTATCAGGCTTGACCAAATCTTCTTCTTCTAACAATTCGTCTTCATTTTCTAATTCATCATCGTTACCAGAAAGTGTCCATATAGCTGTTTTGTTTACTATGATGTTATTTCCAATTTTAATTAATATGTCAATTAAAAGATTCAATAAAAAAAAAAAAGAACACCCCAAAAAGTATGAATACCTTTAGAAGCCTTATTAGCAAAAGGCAATGCAAAGGTAGCACCGACTTCATAAGTTGGTTTTTTCGCAACTAGCTCTACTACATTTAGCTGACCATTCAATACTTTGACTAGTTCTTGTCGTTTAGCTTGATCATAAATATTGTGAGTACTCAATATATTCTCCATGATCTTTTCCAATTCAGGCATTTCGACTTTTTTTGTCTCTTGGATTTCCAAGTCGACAAATCCTGCCATTTTAAGATCACTAACCAGTTCTTGAGTAGTACGTAACGGAATCTCGACGTAGGACTGCGGTGTGAGGGTAGTAAGCTCTTTGAGATGTAAGACACCACCAGGTGCCAAAGCTGTAACTAGATCCCTGAATTCTTGTTGTAATTGTTCATTGGTCTTGCGCTGAGCGAGTAAAAAAGAACTCACTAGGTCCAGCTCCGCTTTCTCGAGGGGTTTCTTATATTCAGAGTTCATTTTAAGGCAACGGTAATTGTTTGTGGGAACAAGAAAAGTTGTTAAGATGGGTTTATATGCAATTTCTGTCCTAGCGTTACCAACCTAAAGCCAATCACTCCATTCAATATTGTCACCAATTTTGATCTTGTCACTTACGATGATTAGGGATGTTAAGTTGGGGTGTCCAATGTACTATGTAGATCAAATATATGTATAGTCCCATATACATGTGACCGAAACTTTTAACGGTTTTGACGAAACCGAAAGTCCGAAACACTAATTCGAAACTCATGCCGAAATCCGAAACCCTTGCCGAAACCCAAAATTTAGCCGAAATTTATTTTTATAAATTGAAACCCGGAAGTGAATATTTTTTAAGTTGTCAGTGTGTTAAATTTATCTCTGAAAAAAAAAAGTTGGTTTAACCACACATAAGATACAATAAGCGTTCCGGCATTTTAGAAAAATAGACGCAGCGTAGCGAATCCAAAATTTATTTCGTTATTTCTTTAATTCCTATTGTATCTGCTGATAAAATAATAAAGTAACCAAAATATATACACATAACATTAAAGTTTTTATTAAATTTTCCTTGGTACATTATCTATAAAGTGATTGTATACAAGCACGCTTTGTTAAGAAATATCCAATTGCATTATATATTCTGACTCACCGTAATACTGCTAAAAAAATGTGTAAATTAAATTATTACATTAAAAAAAATTCATTTAAAAAAAAAGACTAATCCGCTTACTGATTTTAACTTGAAGCAAATCTAAGAATATTCGTCATTATCAATCTCCATTGACATATTTCTAGCTAATGTTTCAATGTCAAAATCATTGTGTTGTGAATCTAATATGATAGTTTGTCTTCTTGGACTGACTATTATTTCATCATTTGCTTTTCAGTCCACGTTAAATATTTGCAACCCGATATCTATGCTATTCATAATATTTAAAGTATACACCTCGGATGTATCAATATTTATTTCTGTATTAAGATTATCATTATCGTTATTGGTATGATTATCGTTATTTGTATTTAAAAAATCAGTGCTTTTATCAATCTCATTGTTAATGGCTGTAACTGAATCGATTAGTTGGTTACGTAATAAATTTTCAGGAATATCAACTGCATAACAAGGTAATACTTGTTTCACATTAGTAATATAAAAGGTGTGTAATTTGCACATCCCTTCTGTCCACTCTGCAGCCAAATTAGTATGTCTTTGGTTATAAAACCAACCAAGAACTGAGAAAGAATGCTCACAAGAAACATTATGTGAAGTTATTGCAAAAAGACAAAGTGCCAACACTTGTAATTTCTATTCTTTCTTTTTATATTGTGTAGTATCTCACCAAATAATTGGTATATCTGATTTAGAATTGTATGGTTGATCAAATGATGTTTTTTTTATTTTTACATTTTTGTAATTGGGATAATAGTTTGTTGCATGATTTTTGATCATGCCTTATGTTTTTCCAAATTAGTTTAGCGGTTATACTAATATCATGAAATTTTTTCAAATCAATACTGTTGTCTAAAAAAAAATATTATATAAAGTTTTTTAATATGTATATATATATATATATATAAATAATTAATTGAAATATAGTATTATCATAATATTGTGAATGTAAAAAAAAAGCCAATAAATATTATTAGAGAATTCATTCCAATAACAATTAAATTTCTCAATACAGTAATTTTTAAATACTATATATTGATTTGATAAGCAAAAAATTATATTCGTCAATGATATTAAATAGATATAGCAGTTAGCAAGATTAGAAGTTCTCAATTCTAGATATTCAATAGAAAATTTAAGAGAATAAAAAATAAATTCAATAAGCTAACATTCTTCATAAAAAGCTCAGTCACAAAGAATGTCTTTAACTTGTATTTTGAGATCATCTTCATGTTCTGAAAGAATCTTATAGCAAATTCAAATTATTAGACAGTGTAAAAGTAAAGATAAGCATTAATGGAAATTATTCTTTAAATAGAGATTGTCTAAAGTTTTGTACAGTTAACTTATCATAAGTGCACATTTATACAATTTTGTTTTATAAATACTAAATATTAGTTTTTCTGTAATTTTTTGACCTAATAGAATCTTAAGAATAACATAAGATATAACATCATTAATACTATCTTCTGAATTGTTTTTATTATACTTTTAAACAGTTCTAAATTTGAAATATAAAATTGCACATCTTGACTAATGTCTTTATATTGTAAAATATTGCTATAGTAAAATATATTCTGCATTATAAATATTCTATAAATCTTGAGATGTCTTCAAGTAGGTTTAATTTGGTTTGCTAAATTAGATCACAAAAATTTTTATTTAAAAACTTGTAAAGGCTTTTATTGTCAGTATATTAAAATATCATAAAGTATTCATTTGCTTTTGTAGTCAATACATAAATTTTAAACTTGTTATTCACAAGTGTATATTTTATATAATCATTAAACTATATAAGTATATAATCAGTTTAATATATATTTAATAAACCATTCAATAAATAATTAACTTACTTATTTTAAAAAATCATAAAGATTATCCTTAGCATTAAAACTAGACAAGGTTTTAAGTATAACAGTGCTAAATAGTTTATATGTTTTTTATACTTATTTATCTCAATTTTTTTAATTTTTTGAATATCATCCAACAAAGTTGCAGAAAATACAGAGCCAAATCCATCTTTACTAATTTTTCAAATAAAATCCATACTATACATTAATAATTATAAATTTTAAGTTAGATCTTTTATGCAATTATCAATATTCTTATTTTTATTCGAATTGCTAACTTTTTTTGACAAGTACACTTATAAAGAGTCAGCTGTAATATTTTATATATATAATATTATTTTTAATTTAAATAAATATTACAAAAAAATCTTACTTTCATAAAAGCAAA